TTTCTGCATCTTTTTTAGATAACATGTTTCTAATTTTAGTGATATTACGCAGGTGGAAGAAGATAATCCTAGTAATGTTTGTAATGTGGGGAATAAAAGACATGTCCTGATCAAAAATAACTCCCAATGTTTTTACATTAGAGCTGGAGGCCAGATTAATGCCATCCAAAAAAAGCGAAAGACTAAAAAATTTATTCCTAAAATGCTTAGGCCCAAAAATCAAAACCTCAGTCTTGTCTGAGTTTAAAAGCAGACAATTTAGGGTCATCCAGGTTTTTATGTCTTTCAGACATGCTTATAACCTAAGTAACTGATTGGATTAATTGTGTTTCATGGACAAATATAACTGTGTATCATCAGCATAACAATGAAAATGTATCCCATGCTGTTTAATAACCTTATCTGTTGGAAGCATATATGAGTTAAAGAGTATTAGTCCAAGCACTGAACCCTGAGGAACTCCATGACTAACTTTGATGTATGAAAAATATTCATTATTTACATTTATAAATTGGAATCTATCATGGGGAGTGGTGGCACAGAGGTTAGAAAAGGTGGGCCTGTGATTGGAAGATCGCTGGATCAACTCCCGGTAACGGCAACATCAAAATGTGGGTGGGAATGGTGAAGCACCCACATCTGCCTCCACCCTTATTTGCCCCACTCTGGGCCTTTGAGCAAGGCCCTTAAACCCCACCACCTGCTCCCCCAGGTTCCCTAGATGACAGCTCTCTGCTCCACACAGAGGGCTGTGGTAGCTCGGTGGTCTGTAGTTGCGTCGGGAAGGGCATCTGGTGTAAAAATAATTGCCAAGTCTTTGCGCAACGTAGTTTGCTGTGGCGACCCCTAAAGAAGGGAGCAGCTGAAACTAGGAAAAAAATAAAAATTGGAATCTATCAGATAAATATGATCCAATTTAGAGACGTTCCTGTAATCCTAATTTTATATTCAAGTCTCTGTAGTAAAATATTGTGATCAACTGTATCAAATGCAGCACTGAGGTCTAACAGGACCAGTATAGATATAAGTCCATTGTCAGAGGCCATGAAAACATCATGAGTAACTTTCACCAGTGCTGTTTCTGTGCTATGATGAGCTCTAAACCCTGACTGAAACTCTTCAAACAGATTATTTCTTGTAGATATTCCCACAACTGACTAACCTTTATGGTTTAATTACATCAATCTTAAAGTGTAGTGGTACGTAACCATAAGCAGATCCAAAATGTGGTTGTTAATTAAGGGAAATGCCTCTTTAAATAGTCTGGTTGGGATGGGATCTAGCAGACAGAACTTATGACATTTTTTAATCTAAATTGGGACTAAATTGAAGGGTGGTGGAATGGGTGAATTGATTTGTTGATTAATTGGGAATGTTTTTATTTTAGATCACCAGGGGGAGTTGGGAGGTTCTGGATTTACATACAATATGCACGTTAAAAACCTGTTAATTGTTTAAATCGGATTTTATTCACACAATCACATTTTCTGCTGTGACAGGCTAAAAATACCGGCAGCGCTCTGTGCACATAAATTGGGTACTGCATGATTGAAGGGGAAGGGGGCACCGAGTTTTTTTTTTCTTTTTCCTTTCCAGATGGACAAGATGGACCATGCCTGCCCTTGGAGTCAAAAAGAGAAGTTCAGGTTCTACAAACTGATTAACATCTATTAGATAAGAACACTTTCTTGCATTAGGACGCCTTCTGCAATCATTAAATCATATATTTAGAGAACTGACTTAGACAAATGTTAGAAATTTACATTATGTCATTGCACCACATCAGTGGGATGCTGAAGTCCTAGGCAGATGTCGAGAGCTGCGTCAGGCGACCTGAGGCTGGCAGATCTCATGCTAGCTGTCAGCTCTGGCATCTTATTTTGACCTGAGGCTGCCAGGTCACACGCTATAGCCTGTAGGCATCTACCGCCAACATATAAGGAGTAGTTCACATTCAACCAGAGGAAAGTGATTAACTACTTGCATATCTGGCGGTATTGAATAGGAGTTTTTATTCCAGGGAACCCTTTTTTAGGGTCCCTCGACCAGGAGGAGTTGTTGGATATTTCTTATCTAGACTGGTCCTATGGTTTTGATCTGCTCAGAGACGGGATTATAATGAAATTAAGGCCCGGTTCTGACTGGGTTAAACTGGGCCAGCAGCTCAAAGAGAGTCTCAATATCAGTCAAGGAATAGAGTTTAATCTGCTTGCCACATCACGTAGAAAGGCTTTTGAAGCACCATCTCATATTTCCTAACACATCAGAACCATATAAGAGCCACTAAGATCACACTTAGCCACTCACCCTCATACACTGACAGGTTGAGCTCCCCTTCAGCGAAGGAGGAGTCTAAGATCTTATAAATGAGTAATGACACGGGACATCTGGGTTCTTCCGGGTTTGTGAACACGTCACAGACCGGAGAGACCAGCGCTGTAAACTGTAACCTTTTCCTGCCTTGATTTTAATACAATTGATAAAACTTAATTGACGTTTCCTTGAGTTATTGATAATGAGAGTTGCCACTGATTCGAGCCGGGGGAAAGACGTGGGCTGGAGGGGGTTTCCGGGTCCGGTGGCCAGCAGCCAGCAGCCAGCAGCCAGCAGCCAGCAGCCAGCAGCCAGCTCCCGTCTTTAACATGTGGATGGTTTGGATGAAGCTATTACTTTTGACAATTCAGAGAGCTCAGGACAAAACAGTCCAAACATAAATCAGGTTCAAGTGACATTTTTAAAGTTGCCTCATTTGACACGGAACCAGAGGCGATAGTAGGAAGGATGGTTAGAATTTTTTTTTTTCCCAATTGAAATAATTTTATTTATAAAGAATCTCATGAAGTCATCACTGCTTATAATTATAGGGATACATGAATAAACAGAGATAGGATTTTTCAATAGACTAATTATGGTACTGAAAAGGAGTCTGGGGTTATGTTTATTCTCATCAATTAAAGCTGAATAACATAAAGTTCTATCTTTACACAAAGATTTCTTATAAGTTAGCTGGCTATCTCTCCAAGATAAATAAAATTATTCAACGTTAGTGGAGTGCCATTTTCTTTCCAGCTGTCTAGATGCCTGATCAATCTGGGAACAGCACAAATAATTCTATATAAAATATCATTTTAAAGCATGGAGTGCTGACGGCTTCTCTGCAGACATAGTAGGTGTTTAAGAAATTTAAAATGACTAAATCTACTCATAAGCAGCACGGTGGCTCAACTGGTAGAGCTGCTGCCTCTCAGCGAGCAGGTCCCTGGTTCAAATCCTGGTCCGGGGGTCTTCCTGGGTGGAGTTTGCATGTTCTTTCTGTGCATGTGTGGGTTTTCTCTGGGTGCTCCAGTTTCCTCCCACAGACCAAAAACATGCATGTTAGGCTGATTGGTAACTCTAAATTGTCTCTAGGTGAGTGAGAGAGTGAATGGTTGTTTGTCTCGTTTGTCTCTATGTGTCCCTGTGATGGACTGGAGACCTGTCCAGGGTGTACCCCGCCCCTCGCACAGTGATTGCTGGACATGTGCACCGGCGACCCCCTTGACTCAAAATGGAAGAAGCGGGTAAAAGATGATGGATGGATGGATGAATCTACTCATACAGAAGACTGCAAACAAACACCAAAACTAAACAGAAAAATACCTCCCAGATGTGCACCTTTTAACACTATTTGTTTTGTATAGCAGCAGCAAGCTTGAAGAAGCTGTTTTTTGTTTAATGAACTATAAGAAAATCATCTGAGAGATGTAACTGACACAGTACCAAAAATAAAACAATCATAATGATAAATAAAATAAAAATAACACTATCAGTTTGGGGCATTATGTGAAAAAGAGACGATATTTCATGAACAAAAGCACAACTTATCTGTCAGTTTCAACCAAACATCTGTTCTCTGTTTTCTTTTTCTTACCCTCTTTTTATCAAAACAGCTGCATGTTTGAATAAATAATTTGCTGTCTATCGTAAAAAAAGTTTAATCTATTTCACATTTGCCATGCATGTGTAAAATCAAAAGGTTCTCCATCAAAGACAACACCTTCTACCAAATTGTTCAAGAAATCAACCTGTAAAGTGTTTTTTTAAATTGCTGTTTAAGAAAGATTTTTTTTTAAATTCTTTTTATTTATTTATTTTATTTTATAATACTTTAGATGATGATTAAACAAAAACACTCCTCAGCATAAGCACTGGGCAGAAACATTTTATGAAATGTTAAAAAAAGTATTTGTTAAGCCTGGCTTTTAAAAAGTTCAAGTAATATAAAAATAATTGTGTAATTAAATTACAAAGTCATTTAAAACGGACCCATTAAACCATTATTCAAAACTGCCGTATTCAAGCATGGCATATTATTTGTTCATTACCTGGCATTGGCTGTTATTTTTACTGCATTTCATTAAATTTGATCAAATGAATATAAATATCACATAGATGACAATAAAGAATGTTACATTTCTACTGAAATGCTGACCAAACAAACAAACACATAATCAAATGTGTTGGTGCAGATTTTCTCCATCCAGGGCACGGCTAATCTTGGAAGATTTTTATTTTTGTTTCTTTCTTTTTGAAGATATCTGTTGATCAACTGATGAGCTTTCATAATTCAAATTTAAACAAGTTGAGTATCAAGCTGCAGAGCTGCAGAGCTGCTCCATCATGTGCAAAGAGAACCCACATGCAAACCACTCTCTTCCTCACTCCTGGGCAAAAACAAACAAACAAAAAACACATCATTTTACAAAAAAAATAAAAAATAATAATAATTAAAAAAAATCTAATTTAAAGTAAACCTTCCTATTTAATCAGATCTGACAGCAATCATTTGGATATGAATTATAGACTACCCTACAAATAGAGTTCTGAGGTGATTTCTATCACTTTGAAATGAAAGAAGATTTTACGACAAAAAAAATAAAACTGATGTACATTTTGTTGTAAGAGATGTTTTATTACCAGTGCTATTTACATTCACATGGAAATAATACAGCCTTGCCCCTTCCAGACCTCCCTTAACACACACACACACATGCGCTCGCACACACACACGCACACACACACACATTGCATCTAAGCATATCTGGGTACATTGAAGAAACATTCTTTTTCTTATACAATAATAAAAAAACAAATAATCTAAAAACAATATTCAAGTAGCGTTAACTCAGTGTTGGATGTGTTTTGTGTAGCGTGTGTAAGTGAGTAAGATGGCACTGAAAGAGGAAAGATCAAGCTGCAATTTGGATTTATTCGATGTAAATAGTTTAATTTGTTTCAACAAAGACTGACTTTTTTTTTTTAAGAGCGGACCTGACGAAGCTTGACCCTGGGATATTTGAAAAGGATTAACAAAATGAAAGAATTTGTCCTCTGCTGCACTAAAATCTTCTCACAGCCGGACTTGCTGCTTGATTTGAGGTGTGTGCTTTGAAAAGGTGCCCACTAGATGGCAACACGATCCTTGGAGAGGCAGCCGAAGTGTCACAGATGTTGTCTGCCCCCTCTTTTGTTTTCTGCCTTTAGAGGAAACCTCAGCTGCTGAAGGACATTCTCCATTATGGGTTCAATGTTCTTTTGAAAATCATTTCCATTAAAACATGTTTTTTTTAAAGGGACAGTAACAAAAGGAAGGTCAGGTGAAGCAGCGAGGGGAGCAGAACTATCAGGGCCGCCTCAATGGGTGTGAGATGTGTGTGTATGCGTGTGTGCATGTGTGTGTGTGTGTGTGTGTGGGAGGGTACAAGTGTCTGTATAATTGTGTTCGTGTTTTGAATAATAGTGTAGACATCCTTTCAAGCTATGATCAAGAACACGTTTTGTGCATTAGATTGGGAGCTGTATGTGATGTGTGTGTGATGTGTGTGTGAGAGGAAGTCAGTGCACGTCTGTCAACCAGCTGCCTTTGATTTGATGTCATGTTTTATGGAGGAAAATGTTTCAAATCAGAATAAATGTACAGCACTTGGACTGTTGGTGAATATTAAAGCATACGAGTGCTGCTGAGGGACAACTTGGCAGAAACCAAAGGGAAAGTAAAACTGTTTTTAAAAATGGGGTGAAAAATGAAGAAAACTGGACACGTCCCCTTTGGTGTTTCTCATTAATGTGAGCGTGGAGCATCAGAAGAGACTTCAGTTGGCATGAAGGAGAAGGCGACAAACAGTTTTGCTAAATGGAATCACTTCTTAAGACTTTATGTTCAGGAAAGACATTTGCTTTGGAGCGTCTGCTCTTCCTAGCTTCTCCAGTGTTCCCATTCTTCTGTCAGTTTCCATTAGTTTATGAAAACTAGTCCATAACTTTAAAAAGTTTTCTCTGTAGAAATTTCAGCCGTTTCTCCTCTCAGACGTTTTTTTGTTTGTTTGTAGTGATTCATCCCCTGAAGTAACTGGGCATACATTCATCCCAGGCATGGTCCCTGTCCCCTTTTTTATTACCAGGAGGTGGTTTCTCCCATCTCCTGGCCCTGGTGGGACATTGGAGCACTGTAGCTGGAGTTACTGGCCAAGGAGAAAGGGGGACTAGGCCCACCCCCATATGCGTCTCCTGGGACCGGCTGGAGAGAACTTGGTAAGCCCGGCTCGGGACTGGGGGTTTCCGCATGGGAGATCATGTCCGTGTACCTTTGGTCATCTGTAGGGTGGTGGCCTGATCCCTCAATGGCTCCAGGCCCAGAGCCCAGAATGTAAGGAGACTCTGCTGGAGACTGAGTCTGTGAGGATGGAGGACCATGGGGGAAAAAGTCGTAGTTACCTCCTGGTCCGTAATAGTCCCCTTGGTATTCTGCAAAGAAGCAGGAGAAAACAGCAGGTTAAACATTTTGTTTTAATCTGTAAATACATCCACAGCAGCCTGGAGCAGCATGTGCTGTTTAACATACAGCCACGTCCCTGTCTAAGTGGGGAAATTGATCATGCCCAATTTCCAACCAACCGGTCTCAAACAGCCTCATTTGAGTGTATAAACAACTCCACACCTCTCCACCTCAGTTCTCTCGCCTCTTACACACTGCATTCATCTCCCACTCTCATTCAGCTCGCAGCCATGCATACACCTCAATGGATTCTCCTGCTAAAACTTCAGGATTTGGATGAGAAATTCTAAAATGAGATTCCAGCCTCCCCTGCGGGTCTGCCAGGTCCTTCTGGCATCATCTCTCTGTTATGTCAGAAGCAGCTTCCAACATCATTCCTTGCTGTGCGTCTCTCCAAGATACATGGATTACACAACTTTGCGTTTTAGCTTTCAGACAAACCTTGACAACATTTAACCCCTGAAGCCCCGTTGACTTCATGACAGTTAATGTTCCTTCAAGGAAAATCAACCACCTTACCCAACTGCTTAAAAATAAATAATTTTATTACATTTTTCCCACAAAAAAACTAGTCAGTTTTTTTTAGAGCTATAGCAACTTGAAATAAAAACATAAAAAATTATATGTTTTAACATTTTTAAGTCTTTATGGCCTTTAAGTCTTTTCAACTCTACATTTAAATGTTTTATTTTAATTGACAAAATATTTATTGTACAACAATAAAATATGGGTGGCGGGAGGAAGTGTGGAATTTTTTTTCTCCATTAGTACACCCAAAATGAATTTTTGAGAATTGCAGTTCCAAGTTTTGTGAAGACCTTCCAGCCCTCCCAGCCCTCCAGACCCTTCAGATCCACTGTCAGCCATGGAACACCTGATTCTGCAGCCTGCATGCATGTGAAACGGCTTCTTATTACTAAATATTTACTTGTGCACATCACAAGATCTTGCTCTTACATCCAAACTAAAATAGTTTTGTCGAATGGGGTGAGAGGTGGGACTCTGCACTGATGTCTGGATGACACCACCTAGTTATCTTGTAGTAGCACCATTACATATTCCTAATTTGGCCACATAACACTACTTTAATCCTCCCTGTTTGAGGTAATTCCTCAAATAAACTAAAGCTGCCAAATTTTCTGATATACTTAGTGATACATTAATATATGAGTGTGAGATTAAACTAACCTTATATATGATTTTAAATCCTAGTTTATGTTAGTGTTTATATTGTGTGTAAATTATAGCCGAATAGAACCTATGAAAACCGTGCTGCTGCTGTTCGTTGTGTTGTTTTGCATTATTAGTGACTGGCGTATATCTTAGATCTTTTAGCGTACCGTTTGGTGTTCATTTAGCATATATCTGAGTTTATATCTCAGATCCTTATTTACTGTTTCTTTTCACACTACATTTTTGCAATTGTTTGATGTAACTGGGACCCTGTGTACACAATGTTGTTCCACCTCATGTACCACATGTGATGTGAATGACAATAAGATCATTGAATCCTTGAATCTTTGAATCCTTGAATTTTATATTGTGCAATACACTGTAATAACATTATAATGTAAAATAGTAGTGCTATATCACCCATGATCTTACTTAAAACAAAATGTGATTGCTCAGTCATTTCATTGGATGCTTGCTTCCTTAAGAGTCAAAAAAAACAACTACAAAAAAAAAAACCAACAACAACTGCGGCTGTCATTTACAGGAAAAATGTCTCCTCAGAACTAGACCCCTCAAACTAGCTTCGGCTATTTCAATCCTTCAGGCAGGAAGCAAGGGCACCAGCCCAAATGAAAGACTGTTCAATGGTTTGTGATTATGTATTATATTAAATACTGCATTCACATCAAACACTGAAATAAAAAATGCTATGTCCAGTAAGACTGTGAAAACCATTGAATAAAATTATAACCCAAAATACACAAAAATCAGAAAAACATAGTTGATAAATGCAAATATAATCTAATATAAAAATCTAAAGTATACATGAAGAGGTAAAAATAAAAACTTACAGAGAGGAAAACATTATTTTATGATATGATAAATATGGGATTAAAAGTTGTTGTTGTTTACAGTGTATTGTATCCTGATGCATGCTCAATAATCCAGGTAGAAAAATCCAAAAAAGTTCAATCTGGTCCTCTGGACATTCAAAAAAACAAAAAACAAAACAAAGCAAAAAAATATAGAAACTTTTCGTCTCTCATCCAAGAGACTTCCTCAGTCTCTCAGTGTATTGTAATGTTGATAATTTTCCCCCTTAGGAACATGAGAGTGTAGTAAAGTTATTAGTAGGTTATTAGAGCATTTGAAAAAAAATCTGACAAAATAAAAAAATAGATGGAATGTTAGATTTATCAGAAAAAAATGTTTGACTGCACCAAAATAAAGTAAATTAAAAAACAGATCAAATAAATGCGAGGCTGATTTTTCCCAACAAGTTATTCCTTAAGATTTCATAAAAAAAAAAAACCACAATATCAAATATTTTATTATGGTCTTAACTACTATGTTGGCGACTTAACTGTTCTAACATTTTCTATCCAAAGACTCACAGACTGCAGTATTATAAAGTCATCTACAGCTGCTTCAGCTCTCATCCAGCTGCTGCAGTGTTTGTCAGCCCTGTTGGATCTAGTGCAGCTTTCAGAGGGAGGAAGCGCTGCCCTTACCTTAAACCATTTTTTATATTCAGAGTGGTGCCAATGGAGCAGTCTCTGCATATCAGAATCATATATGTCAAAATACCTGAGTGCTGCTACAGTGATCAGCAGGACTGCAGCGCTAGAATTTGTACATAAATACAAACCACACACGGTGGAATATTGTTGGTGTTCATCAAACCTGTATGTGACCAAAAAACAAAGTTTGTCAGCAGTCACTGTGGGAATTTTATTTATTTATTTATTTTTTTTTCCCTTGTCCTGTCCGTCATTGTGACACTTAGAATTATTGTCTGAGTGTCAAAGTGATGCCCAACAGATTTACTTTCACAAGCAGAGCATTATGGCTGGCCTTAATGCTCCACTTGATATATAAATTAAATTTTATTAGAATTTGCTGTGGGCTTGTTTCAGATGTAATGGACACGGGGATGAAAAACAAAGAAGATAACAAAGCAGAAAAGTGAGAGAAGAGTTAAAATGTAAAGAAGGAGATAGGAATAGAGGAGAGAGAGAGGGATAAAGAGAACACAAATCAACATCATTGAAGTCTGACTCCAGACCTGCGGAAAGAAAGACGAGACAAAACCGAGAAACCACAACAACAAACAACATACATAATGATACTTGTAACATCATTAGAAAGTATTTTATACAGTATTGCTGACGGCAAAATCAGATCTGCTAAATTATGTTAAAACAATGTCTGTTGTTACTTCAGGTTTAAAAGTTTTTCATGTGTAAACTTGACGTTAGCCTCCCCTCTTTAAAAGTTCTCAACTTTTGGTCTTTTCTGCTGTAAAGACCACGCAGGGGGAAAATGACAGTTTAAAAACAGAAGTTTGTGAAAAATGATTGAGTGGATTCCTCCACTGGATTAACTCGTCTTGCTGTTAACCTGTGACACTGACTGGTGAGAAGCAGCGGCTTTGTTTGAGTCTGCAGCTAATGTTTGACATTTTCAGCTTTTTTCTTTGTTTATCTCCCTCTAGCTCGTGATGAGAAACACTAAACCTCTATAAGCGGACTTCAAAGGGTCTTTGGTCTTCATGAAAATTGTTGGATTTTCTGTAAATCTAGAGTAACAGAAAATCTGTTTCTCAGAGAGCTTTGTGTTGTTTCTTAGTTTTTACATTTCAACCGTTTAATTCATTCATTTATTCATTTTGTTTGCATAGTTATTCATGGGTATTTAGCTAACTAATGTTCACAAGTCCATAATGTCTTTCTTATCTCGGAACATTTCTAAACTAAGGATTCATCACAGTATCTTAATACAGAGGCGCCATTGTGATATTTGGATTACAGGAACAATTCTGAAATGGTTTAAATTGTATTTATCTGAAAGATTATAGTTTGTTCAGATTAATATTGAATATTGTTCTTCATCCAGCAGTCAGTCATATAATTCCTCATTCCTCAGGGTACAGTGTGTGTACATCCATCCATCCATCCATTTTCTTTACTCGCTTATTCCATTTTGGGTCAGGGGGGTCGCTGGTGCCCATGTCCAGCAATCACTGTGCGAGGGGCGGGGTACACCCTGGACGGGTCTCCAGTCCATCACAGGGACACATAGAGACAAACGAGACAAACAACCATTCACTCTCTCACTCACACCTAGGGACAATTTAGAGTTACCAATCAGCCTAACATGCATGTTTTTGGACTGTGGGAGGAAACCGGAGTACCCGGAGAAAACCCACGCATGCACGGAGAGAACATGCAAACTCCACCCAGAAAGGCCCCTGGACCGGGGTTTGAACCAAGGACCTGCTCGCTGAGAGGCAGCAGCTCTACCAGTTGCACCACCATGCTGCCGTGTGTGTACATAAAATGATAAATGGACTGTATTTACACAGCGCCTTTCTATCTTATCAAGATACTCAAAGCTCTTTACAACAATCTGTGCCTCATTTACCCATTCATACAGCTCTATACTAGATCTCTACAAAGAATTATCAGAGCTTTATCACATTCATACACTGATGGGACACACATCGGAGACAATGGGGGGTTCTGTGTCTTGCCCAGGGACACTGCTGGTGGAATCAAACCTCCAACTCTCACGTTGGAGGACGACTGCTCTAACCACTCAGCCACAGCCTCCCCTGAGAAAATCTATTTCTCATAGATAGATGGATAGATAGATAGATAGATAGATAGATAGATAGATAGATAGATAGAT